GCAAATTGTATCTCAATAACGTTATTACAAAAAAATGATATGCCCAAACAGGATGTCAACAACAGTGATATATATTTTGGGTTTTTTCCCTCTTTTTGGTCCTTACACGATTTTCTTAATTTGGTATTTTTCAAATCACAATAGTGATAGATTCTTGTTGAAACCAATGAAACGATATGGAGAGGTCTAAAGAAAGAATTAATGATCTTGTTTCCAGCACCTGCAGCTGCTCACCATGTGTTTGCAGTAGAATAGAGAGAATTCGGCATTCTAAGGTAGGTATCTGCCTTCAGTCCCATCTCACTGACTGTGTGGGTAACCTCATGTCACATGCCTACATCTGGGACCCCTAATGGGACCAGACTGGGCAAGGTGGCCCTCCCTGACCCCCATCTCCTGCCCTCTCCATCAGCTGGGTGTCCTCAAATGACTCAGGATTCCCGAGCTTGCATTCTGCCACCTGGGTAACAGTTTGACTCCACCTCTGAGCCTGTTTCCTCACCTGTGACGTGGGACTCAAAATGTCCACTCACCTGAGTGTTTGAGGGTTGAGTGACACCTCACATGGGAAACCCTTGGCATGGGATCGGGCACCTGCAGATGTTGGGCAACATGAGTGCCGGCTGTATACCCTCAGATGCACACAGGGGGCGGTGGCTACATGTATGCTTCCCTTCAGCTCTGCCACCTGTGTGCCCGACACATGCCTAGGGACATGCCTCCCCACTGGAAAGGGGGCTTGGGAGTGCCTGTGGAAGGTCAGTGGGGCAGCATGAGGGGACAGCTTGTTGTCCTACAGAGAGGGACAGCTATGTGAGCTGTTTGTGCCTTCACTGCCCTCTGTCTCATCAATATTCTCATCCCGGCCAACCAAATGGACAAGAGAGCTTTGTTGATGGGGCCAGGGAGAGAGCTGGCCAGAGGTGTGTGTGTGTGTGTGTGTGTGTGTGTGTGTGTGTGTACACCACCTTGTGGACAGACAGACCCCTGCACACAGCCAGGGATAGACAGGAGGCTTCGCATGGGGCAGGAAGTGAGTTCAAGTCCAAGACGCTGCAGTTCTGTGATGATGATGGTGATGATGAT